CAAGATTTGCAAATAATGCCTTGATTAGTTCTTGTTCTGTGGCCTCAATATAAGAATTTGGATATGGTGTGTTGTTATTGCCAGTGTCACGGAATACTCAGCAGAGCCACAAGGCTTTACGAAAGTAGGTTTGGTGATTTATTGGGAAGTTATAGAGAAAAAAATTAATAGGTACATCGGTCTCGTAAGTACTTTTGAATACCTGGTAATAAATTTCATTCTGACCCAAGTATTGAACTGCAATAAGTATTTCTTTTTGTTTAACTTTTGCCTATTTCCAATCGTGACAAAATTATTATTAACTTTTTAAGGTTTTCTCTGCTTAAGAGAAGATTTGTGCTTATTATTTCAATTTCAATAAAGGCATCTGAGACGATTTTATTGTATTATGTGGAATCAAACGAGTCAGCTGAGCTCTGTGTACGTACCTACTCACTCAACGGCTGGCGGGCGCGGTCGGTCGTTGACCCGCGGTGGAATTTTACTGTTTTTCCGTTTTTTAGAAGTGCTTATTTATTAATTGTTTTTCACTGGATATGTAAGCATGTTTGTTTAATATGAATAACTACTCAAAAGGAGGAAAGGACAAAAAAATACACAAATTATAAATAAATACATGAAAAAAAATACTTCAAAAAATCCGAAAAAAATCAGGCATACTCTATACTCGTAACCCAACAATCTCACGAAGTTTCATTAAAACATTCAATTTCATCCTATATAAAACACAGTGACATACATTCTTTTAATACAAGGAATAAAAATAAACTCAAGGTACCAAATTACAGGTTACAGAAGGTTCATAAATCATTTATGGGTCAAGGTATACATTTCTATAATAAGATTCCTATTGATATCCTTGATTTGCCTCCTCATAAATTTAAAATACACATTAAGAATTGTTTACTTAAGAAAGGATATTATACTGTCAATCAATATTTGAATGATAAAACGGCCTGGTTGTAATTTTACCTGTAGATAATTTTTCAAAAGTTATATTAAAACTAAGGCTCCCAGCCTTAGAAAGAGTTTTGAAGAGAACCTTGCACTTACTCCCTTTCATATACTTGTTCATTTTGTTTTGAAAATTGTTTCTTGCTATTTTGGGACTTATCTTAGCACTTATTGTTAGTAAATTCATTGATTGTTACATATTTGACATTATGTGATGGAAGTTGACCTCAGCACATGTTTGCAAGTTTGATGTCAACTTTCAATTGGACGACACTGTATGAAATAAAACAGGGAGAAAAAAGCAGCCCTTGCTGAGTTTCTTGCCGGTTCTTCTCAGTACAAGGTCTCCCGCCGTAGTTTTGCGAACCGATGGCGTAGCTTTTCGACATTCACAAGTGCTTGTAACAGCCTAGACTGAATAAACGATATTGAATTGAATTGATAAATTTATATGTAAGTTTATATAAGCCTACAATACGCTATTTTCTCCGTTTGTCACTCCCAAAACGATAAATATGAAGGTTGTTAAGTATAGACTGCAGTGGGCAGCATTTAGGAAAGTGAAAACACTATTATATTGATATAAAGGAGATTGCTCAAATTGGCCCAAATGCACAAAAAATATCGACATACACGGTAATTCTTGGCGTAATTTATAATTTAATTTACAGTTATTAGATTTCAACGGACACCTTTGTATAATATATTTACTTTAAAAAGGACTATTAATTTTACCGGTTTGGAAAACATACGAATCATTTTTAATGGCTATGGGTGTAGTAACATTCAGCCAAAGACTGATCGAAGTTGTTTAAATAACATAAAAACAATTCTATTTTGTAAAGATCGATTAAATAAATCATTTTTTTTATTACACCGTGGTATTAATATCCACAACTATATTATCATTTTCACTAGATGCAAATGTGCTCAGATAATTATTATAGATGGTAGGCGACATCATAAAGTCTATTGCCATACATTTTTCGCCAAACACCTCCATAAACACATTATAATCTGTATGTATGTTAGACTTTAAGGTATCTATCTATGGGCCTACGTTCCCTGACTATAAATTAATAAATAAAATTATAAGGTGTGATACACTAAAAATCTAAAATATGGTTATCTTAAAAACATAACAAAAATAATGAAGCTACTGAATATATGGCTATAGAACCTAAATCTCTTAGCTTTCTTTGGTTAACGAGAGTTTAAAATTTCTCTCTAATCTGTTGCTCATTCACAATCATCACACAGTTTCTGTCACAGAGTACCTTATTATAACCGGAAATGACACCTGATTTTAAAAGTTACTCTTATGCATTAACTTTAAAAACAGGCAACTATCTGTTAATCTACATGCTCTATATACCTGAATCTAATCCATAATTTCGGTACTTGGTTTGATTTCCCTAGTTTACTATATTACTTATTTGTTTTTTATTATTTTAATATGTTCAGTGTATATGGTTTATAGAAGTTCTCAGGGGTGTCCGTCAATAATATTCGTTTCTACAGTAATTTATATATAACTTCGAATCTAGGAAACAATTTTTCATGATTATTGATCTTTAGGCCAAACATGTATGGAAGCTGAGTAATCTCCTTTAAGTAGTGCACCTTAAAAAAGTTGTAAAGGAGCGTGGTTGTTGAACAACAATAGACACATAAATATTTAAATTTTACTTACACCCTTTTGACAAAATTATACACATCAGTTACAACACAGGAAGAGGAGAGACACATTTTATTTTTGTTCGACATTCCAACCACGCCTATAATCTTTATTCATATGGGTAAGGCCAGAAGTCGAATTTCTTCTTACAGATTGCTGGGTTTGCGCCCATTCTCTTTCCGCACAGACTCTATTCAAGATATTATTATTTTTTAAATACCGCCGTTTTTTCCTGGCAGGCGGGGGAGCGGGTGTGCACGGTTATGTCAGATTCTTACTGACTAATACGCACCCGTAGTTCATGCTTTTGGCCAGAAAGGCCTTACAAACATCATTTGAAGCGATCATCAGAAGGGGATAACCGCCGATTTTATCAAGTGCTTTTATATACTGTTTTATAAAAACGTAACTTTGCGAGTCTATTTGGCGCTTAAGCAACTCAAATTTTTGAGGATTTTTATTGTTTACACCGCTTAAGCGATATAAATTTTGGTGTTTTTGAACCAATTGCGCTTACGCCCTACAATTTGGCGTATGATTTTATGTTTGCTTGAGAAAAATGTATGGCGGGGTAAGTGATTTTCGCTTAACCGACCTCTAATTCGCAAAGTAAAAGCACTATTAATAACTTTTAAATAGGACGATGTTTAGGAAATATTATTTTATGAATAGGATTTTATTTTTGTGCCGCTACTTCTGTTTCAAAATAGAAATAAATAAAGAAAGAAATTTTATTGACCTTAAACACAGAATTACAAAAACAGAACACGACAAGACAGTCGAACTAGGTCCCTGCCTCAGCTTAATACTACAGCAACACCAGGGCTACTGCAATGCTGATAATTCGGCCAGGGGCAATAAATGAGTTATGATTAAAAAAAAACGACGGGTTGCACTCCGGGAGTGCCGGCAGAAGTAAAAACTTGAATATTAACGTTGTGCATTTTTAATATTTTGGAATGGTTAGGGAATAATTTTGCACGAATTGCTTTAATTATCAGTATAAAAGTACTATCATGTATGTGGTAGAATACAATATTTATTTATTGCGCTATCGTACACAAACATGACAATTTATATTACATTAAAAAAAATGTGTGCGTGTACTAGTGTCTAGTGTACACACGTAAGAAGTGAAACTTCTTTATGGCCTTATTTTTCGAAAAATGATCTACATGCAACTTTCCAGAAATTGGTTAAATAAAGTTAAATTAGATAAAGTTTAAACAAAAGGATTTTATTATCATAGACATGAATACAAATTACTGCCTATGAAACTGTTATGATTACACGGCTCAGTAATCTAAGGCACATGTTCCACCTCCGACGATGAACGATAAGCGAGTAGAAACTAGAAACGAATTGGCAGTCCTGAGTTAAAATGCACGCGCACGGCTTTTGACAGCCAAGCCAGCTTAACCGAGCGAGTATAGCTGAGCGAGTATCGCTGAGCTAGTATCGCTGAGCGAGTATCGCTGAGCTAGTATCGCTGAGCGAGTACCGCTGAGCGAGTACCACTGAGCGAGTACCGCTGAGCGAGTATCGCTGAGCGAGTACCGCTGAGCGAGTATCGCTGAGCGAGTATCGCTGAGCGAGTATCGCTATGCGAGTTTGGCTGAGCGAGTCTTATCTTTAACTAGTTGTGCCCGGCGGTGTTACCCGCGCTTTATTAGAGGGATATTTTCCCGCAGTAAAACGTAGCCTATGTGTTCATTCAGGGTGTCAGCTAACTCCATACCAAAATTTATTAAAATTGCTCCAGCCGTTTAGACGTGAAGAAGTAACAAACATACACACTCACAAACTTTCGCCTTTATAATATTAGTGTGATAACTATTGTCACTTAGCTACAAACGAGTAGAGAGAGTTCTCGCCGGCGACAGTGTGATCATTCAGCTATCAACTATTAATATAAAAAAAGATGGCGCGTAACGGAAAAATGTGACGCGTAACGTCCGAAAAATGTGACGGTAAATTTTTTTCTAACGCCGATAAAGAAGTTTCACTTCAAAAAAGTTCATCTCTCAGAAAAATCAACTTACATGAATCACATTTAAGCTGCCACGAGAACGTCCTAGATAGAGACTTATTATTATAATACGGTAAAATAAAATATTACTATGTTTCGTCCAATATATTGAAAGTCAACAACCTTTCCAATTTTATTGTGTGTCATGATGCGATCAGCCCACGTGTTTAACCTGACGCGAGTTTAACATTTTTTACCCATACAAAAAAAGTGTACAACGTTGCTATAGGAGTTTTCACTTTAAAAACTTTGATCCTCTTTTTTGTAAAGTGGCTTTTAAGCGATTTTGCTTTTTCACTATCCATATTTTCTATTGTATTTCTTTTATAATCTACTCACTCCGGTTGGTCTGCGCGCGCGCCGCTATCAAAACAGCGGCTAACACCAGCCAGCTCCCCTCCATGGTGCGTCTGCGTCACGCACCCTTACTGACTCGCTCTGTAGACCCCTTCATCTGTGGACCAAGGAAATTTACTATTTTTTTATTTTTTTTTATTTAATCTTTAATGCCTTACATTGCATATGGCGGACTTAATGCCAGCATGGCATTCTCTACCAGTCAACCGGAAAGAACGTGCAGAGTCAATAAAACGGCAGACAATCATGGGAAAGAACAAACATCAAACAATAAAAAAAACAAAATTAAATAGCGTTTAATACATACACATATACATACACATACATACAAAAATAAATATAAATACATACACACACATCTTTATATATATAATTCTTCTGTGAGTGTGTATGTCACTGAACTTCTCTTAAACGACTGGACCGATTTTGATGAAATTTTTTGTGTGTGTTCAAGGGGATCTGAGAATGGTTTAGATTCACAATTTTGTCCGCTGGACAACCCCTATTTTTTTAGGGCGGTACGAAGTTCGCTGGGTCAGCTAGTATATACATAAATATATACATAATATACCTATAATATAGTGTCCGATTTTAGTATCCTGATTCAGCTTAAGCACTATGCAATAGATTCAAATAATGTTCCCGCACCGAACTCTTAAACACCGTCCTGTTTGGAGCGTTTCGAATGTCTGGAGGAAGTGCATTCCAGAGCCGACTGGCAGTAAGGGTGAATGAACTGGAGACAAACCTAGTATGGTGAATCGGTACTTCAAGTATCAAAATATCTTTTGAGCGGAGATTTAATCGATGGGAAGATCTATTAATCTGGGAAGATTACTAGTTTTGTAAGGGTTATATTGTTTTAGGTATTTTTCTATTTTAGGTAAAACGTTTTACCGCACACTCCCATACAAACAACCTCGTTTACGGTGAAATTAGAATAACTATAGTCTATTCAACTTCCTTTGAGACAAAATGCGTGAAGAAGCAAAGGTTTTTCAATAGGTATAATTTTATATGGACACTAAAATCATTATTTAAAAGAGTTGTAATTAAATAGACCTAGCAGTAGTATTATAGCAAATAATGTATGTTGAAATGTGAAATTCTGTAATCAGCCTGGTTGTAATGTTGCACCCGGTTCTCTACTATTGATAAAAAAAAATGGGTGCGTGTACTTATGTAGGCGCGTGAGAAGTTATCCTTCTTTGGCATCGTTTAAAATTAGTTTTTAATTGCATGCAAATAATTAATTACAATAAATTAATAAAAAGTCTGGAAAAGGACACAGTCAATAAAGTTCAGTTTTAATTTGAAAAAATAAATAAATAGTTATAATTTTTATTATTTTTAAAGCATGTAACTGCTTGATTTTGATATTTTCTTTAGAAATAAATAAATAATCAAAATATTCAATTAAAATCGCTACTGAATATAATTTATTAGAACATATGTGATTTGCACTTGTATGAAACTCAAACACGTATTCCGAATATACAAACTAGAAACATGTGGATAAATATTATAAATATGAATACCTATAACTGTTACTTTATTACAAAAAATAAAGATGTGGTTTTTGGTTCTACTACACCAATGGTCAAGAGATGGCGCTGTAGTCTCCTGAATCGCGCTTTGGTTCCGTTGTTCCAGATTAATAAATACTTTTGATAGGCCTTCACAATGCAGTCGTTAGCACCCACTAAATAGAGATTCTATTTCTATTTTGTTGGTAGATTTTCTTAATGTGCGGTAATTTTTTGTGTTACAGTGATGCGCGCGCATCTTAAAATTTCACTCTCATCATTTTTTCATAACGCGCCTAAAGAAGTATAACTTCAAAAAGTTTTAGAAACATTAGTTTATTCAAGTTTTCCTTTAATGTCAGAGGAAATTGAATAGAGTTTAGTAACTTATATTTAAAGTATCAAATAGAATTGTTATGTGAGGAAAAACGGTTTTATTCCTATAACTTTGGATATTCATATTTTTTGTTGAAATACATTTGAATGATTTACACATACATCTATGTAACGTGAGGTAACGCAGCCGCTATACACTCGACCGCAAATAAATCAGATCACCATCGTTATTACTGTAACGCCCGCTGCGTTACGTTACTTTGCTTGTCTATTGGTAAACCGCTTAACTGAGATCTTGCCTTGACCTGCGGGGTACAGGGTGTGGGGGACGCCGAGAACGGGGGCCGTGAGAGGTGCGGGCGGCAGGCAGTTGTAATTTTGATCGGAATATGCCGCCGCCCGCACCTCTTACGGTCCTCGTCCGGTTCTCGTCCTTCCCCACACCCTTTACCCCGCAGGCGAAGACTCAGTGGTCTACTTATAGTGCCCACGGCTGACATTCATATTAAAAACTATAATATATATTTAATTAGAAACCTAAATATGATTTTTGATTATCTAGACAGTGATACCCCACTCGACATATTTTGTCAACTTATTTTTTTTACTTCGTCACAATATGGCGTCTAATTTTGCCCATATTGAATTTTGATTACTATCATATCTTTAGTAGCACTCCCATGATTGAGACAAATCGATTGATGTATGAATCATCAAAATCGGTCCAGGCGTTTGGTCTCTAGTGTGCCACAAAGGAACAAACATACATATATAGACTGTTAAACACATAACCCTGTCTGGGCGTCGCGCTTCGCGCTCTTGCATTGCGCAGCCGGGTAATAAAGAATTTGGTTGCCTTTTTTTCGATTCGATGGATGGGTATGCGAAAACTGCCACATACGTAAAACAGTTATAATAAAGATTTAATTCTCTGAAATACAATGACATTCTGCAGTCACAAACTATTCGAATTCGATATTGGTTCGTGCTAAGGGGTACTGATTAAATTTTCTCTAAAAGTGTAAAACTTATAACTATAAAAGCTATATGCACTGAAAGTACGTGTTGATATTTAAAATTACTAAAAATATATTCTAAAGTACTGTCAAATTGTTAAAAATAACAATGCACAATTTGATGGAATAGATCTGGTATCTGGATCTGGAAGGCATTGGTGGTGAGAATATCTTTATATATATATAATTCTTCTGTGAGTGTGTATGTCACTGAACTTCTCTTAAACGACTGGACCGATTTTGATGAAATTTTTTGTGTGTGTTCAAGGGGATCTGAGAATGGTTTAGATTCACAATTTTGTCCGCTGGACAATGTTTTTTAATTAATTTTTTTTTATGGCAGTACGAAGTTCGCTGGGTCAGCTAGTTTTTTTATAAAACAAATAAAGCTATGTTGGCAGCATAAATTTTCAAAAGCAACACTATATTTATATATGTTACGAGCAGATTACAAGGGATATTTTCCCGCAGTAAAACGTAGCTTATGTGTTAATCCAGGGTGTCAGCTAACACCATATTAAGTTTTATTAAAATCGCTCCAGCCGTTTAGACGAGAAGAAGTAACAAACTCACAAACTTTCGCCCTTATAATACATATTAGTTTGATTATATTTACTGGTACTATTTTACTATTACTATAGTTTTTTAGGTTTTCACGCACATCACTTATTAAATAAAACAAGTTTCAACGGTTTGGTTGGATACATTAATTTTATTTATTTATTGTCGTTTTGCATCCTTTGCATTATTCGACGACGCATTCCTCAATAAATAAATAAAATCAGTCCATCTAACCCGTTGAAATATGTTTTATTTTATTTGTACTATTTTTTTTCTACTTTTTTAAGCACTATATATCGACCTATCCATAGGATAATAAAGCTACTTCTGCATAATCCCTACTTTACAGTAGAGCGATTTGAAGTTTGTAACATGTAAAATTTGCTTTAACTTGTATTGGTATTTTTCTAGCAATTGATTTTTTTTTACCAATACCAATCATATAAAGCATTGAGAAGCAAATTATGATGCAATTATTGTTTAAAAAAAACTACATTTACGGAAGATTATACGGTTATTTAATAGTATCTTATGTGAATAAGTGACCATTTACGAATGAAAGGAAGAGATTGATGTTTAATTTAGTTTTAAGTTTAGAGAAGCATGCCTGAATCGACACCATTGTATATATTAGTAGTTGTAAGGTTTGATGAATAAACATTATTATTATTAATTTAAAATGGATGCGTGTACTTATGTAGGCGCGTGAGAAGTTATCCTTCTTTGGCATCGTTTAAAATTAGTTTTTTATGCAAATAATTAATTACAATAAATTAATAAAAAGTCTGGAAAAGGACGAAGTCAATAAAGTTCAGTTTTAATTTGAAAAAATAAATAAATAATCAAAATATTCAATTAAAATCGCTACTGAATACAATTTATTAGAACATATGTGATTTGCACTTGTATGAAACTCAAACACGTATTCCGAATAAACAAACTAGAAACATGTGGATAAATATTATAAATATGAATACCTATAACTGTTACTTTATTACAAAAAATAAAGATGTGGTTTTTGGTTCTACTACACCAATGGTCAAGAGATGGCGCTGTAGTCTCCTGAATCGCGCTTTGGTTCCGTTGTTCCAGATTAATAAATACTTTTGATAGGCCTTCACAATGCAGTCGTTAGCGCCCACTAAATAAAGATTCTATTTCTATTTTGTTGGTAGATTTTCTTAATGTGCGGTGAACACAAAAGTAACGCTCGGTAACGTAACGTAAGTACGGTACGGTAAGTAAAAGTAACGTAAGTACGGTCGCTAAAGCGACCAACTTCATGCTGTTAAAATTTTGTGTTACAGTGATGCGCGCGCATCTTAAAATTTCACTCTCATCATTTTTTTCATAACGCGCCTAAAGAAGTATAACTTCAAAAATAAAAAAAATAAAGTTATTTTTTAAGTTATTCTTCTTTAGGCGCGTTATGAAAAAATTATGAGAGTGAAATTTTTAGATGCGCGCGCATCACTGTAACCCAAAAGTAACAGCATGAAGTTGGCCGCGGGCGCGTTATGAAAAAATCATGTGAGTGAAATTTCGAGATGCGCGCGCATCACTGTAACACAATAGTAACACCATGAAGTTGGCCGCGGGCGCGTTATGAATGTTAGTGGTTAATAATCCACCATTATTAGACATCTGTTCGAAAGGTACTTT